ATTGTTAGTATTTTTGCATCACTCGCATTCTTAGTATTACGAACAATATTACTATACTTAGTATTCATTGGTATTCCTAGCAACCAGGCAAGCTTTCAGTTTAGGGCTTGGCTTGGGATTGCGGCAGGGGTTTAGGGTTCAGGGTTTAGGGTTCAGGTTATAGGGGGTTATAGTCTCAGGTCCAGGGCACGATCTTGTCGGCGACCACGAACTTTTTGTGCTTGTGATTCTGGAGCTGCTTCCTGCAAGCTTCGGGTTTAGGGTTTAGGGTTTAGGGTTTGGGTTTCGGGTTTAGGGTTTAGGCTTTAGGGTTTAGGGTTTGGGGTTTGGGGTTTGGGGTTTAGGGTTTAGGGTTTGGGGTAGGGTTTGGGGGTTTAGGGTTCAGGGGGCTTCAGGAGACTTCCAGTTGCAGGCTTTCTGAGCAAGAACTCTAGGAAGAACAGGAATTTTTATCAAAACTTCATAGAACAACCTCCGAAGCCTTTCCACCCCAAACCCTACGCCCGAACCCAAGCCCTAAACCCCTAGTCCACAGAAACAACAAAACAACAGACAACCCTGAGCCCTAAGCCCTAAACCTGAGCCCTGAACACTAAGCTCCCTAAGTTAAGCCCCCCTGAACCCCTAAAGTCCCGTAAGCCCTGAACCCTAAACCCGAAACCCCAAACCCTAAGCCCTAAACCCTGAACCCTAGCTCACTGGCACTGGGGGCGCCCACTTGGTTGCAATTCCCTTGCGGCTGTCGGCTTCCCGGTTCATGCGGAGGATCAGCTCCTTGAGGCGGGGGGGGGTTTGGGGTGTTGGGTTTAGGGTTTAGGGTTTAGGGCTTAGGGCTTAGGGTTTAGGGTTTAGGGTTTAGGGTCTGGGGTTTAGGGTTTAGGGTTTAGGGTTTAGGGTTTAGGGTTTAGGGTTTAGGGTTTAGGGTTTAGGGTTTAGGGTTTAGGGTTTAGGGTGTAGGGTTTTTGGGTTTTGGGTTTTGGGTTTTGGGTTTAGGGTTTAGGGTTTGGGGTTTAGGGTTTAAGGTTTAGGGCTTCAGTAGGAATAACACGACATGTTGCGGTCAGGAACAGAAATGACGTCAACAGCTCGCAGATTTTAACAACATAAGAGCCAATGAGAACCGATAGCAACTTCAGTAATTTCAATATCAACAACAAGAACAAATATTGTGAAACAAACAAAAAACACAGAAGCAACAACAATCACCACAATAGCAGGGTAGAAAAAAGACAATAGAAACATCATCAATAAGTAAGAACTACTGCAACTCATACTAACTAACGGTACTTAAGAACAAGTAGCACAAAGCTCAACTCATACTACCTAACGGTACTTAAGAACAAGTAGCACAAAGCTCGCGTAAGACTGATTCATAACCATCAGTTCTAAGAAACAGTCCTGACGACGTTCTTTGATGCCGTCGTTCACGCCGGCCTGCAAAGAGACTGGATGGAAGGGTTCCGCAGAGCTAAACCCTGACCCTAAAACCCAAAACCGGCCCACAAATCTCCCATGCACGCAATCCTGGAGTCCCACCAACGTATATTGTTTCTTGAGGGGGTTTTTGTGTCAAGGGGCGGTCCGCAAACCGAAACAACGCTAGGGTTTAGGGGTAAGCTTGAAAAGGCCGTATAAATCTTAGGCTTGAAGGTTTTGCTTCGGAGAGTTTTGAGTTAAACCCGAAACCCTGGCCAACCCTTACCCCTAGGCCCTAAACCGCAAAGCGACTGAAGCGATCCCACGGGAACAGGGAGTCCGCCTCCGCCATGCCATCCGCCTCCTTGTCACCTTCCCTGGGCCGCGTTTCGGGTCTTCAGGTTAGGGGTTCACCAATCTTGAAAAGCAGCCTTATTCCTTCCAACAAATTCCAACCACTTGTTTGAAAGACATGCCTTCCCACCAAGCACCTTTGAAAGTCATTCCTTTCCACAAAACCTGTGATTGTGATTCCTTCCAGGGAACACTCAACGAAAGGCTTTGCATCCATCCCCCTCCACGAAACAACTTTGAGAGTAGCTCCTACCAACAAAACAACTTCAAAGAAGTGCCTGTCCATTAAACACTCACAAGGGACACATTGGAGGCAACCTCTGCCCACAAAGAAACACACTCTCGAAGGGGATTAATTCAGCGACGGAACCATTTCAAACTTGTGGAAGGGATCACGTGCAAAAGCACTGCGAGCCCTAAATTTCTAAAACCCTAAAGCCCTGCGCCCGAAGCCCCAAGCCAAACAATCTGCCCCTAAGCATCGTGAAGTCCCAAGCACGAAGCCTTGAACCTCAGAAAGCAACTTGTACGGTAGCAAGAACACGAACTGTAACCACAAAAGCAAACGGCAATCAGAATAATAACAACGATTATATGAATGATCATCGCAATAATAAGTCCGAACCAGAATACGCAGAATGACAGCCATGATAATAATAATAAGCAGAAGAACAGAATGATAAGCAGGATAAGAATAATAATAATAATAATGATAATGATAATGATAATAATAATAATAATATTAATAATAATAATAATGGCAATAGTGACAAATAATGGTAACAATGACAATAGTAATCGGAATCACAATGAGAGCCAGGACAAGAACATAGTTAGAGCCAGGACAATAACAACACAAAAAAACGCCATCGTAACAAATACAAGTATGACGATTCCAAGCATGGTGACAATACCAGTACCTGCACTTCGGAGAATCATGCACCCGAGTCCCGAGCTCTTCTGCCGGCTTGTTGTCGCCGTCGGGTGACCTTGGCTCTCGGGTTTTAGGGTGTTAGGGCTTTAAGGTTTTAAGGTCTTAGGGTTCAGGGTATGGGGCTTTCGAACTTTTAGCCTACAGGGTGCCTTGGGCCGTAGGGCTTCAAGTCTTGAGGGCCTTCAGACCTCGCCACAAATCCTGCAGAGCGCCAGGATAAGAAACAAAGCCAGTGCCCACCATCCAAATTACCATAATAGCCAGTTGCCATCACGCACAATCACAAGCATTATCACAAAGAAGAACCGCCACTGTCAGAATAACAGCCACAAGCCAAAAAGAGCCCCCGAAAACCCAATACAACCGAACCCCTTTCGACCGAAGCCGTTCTGCTTACCGCTTTAGGGTCTGGGGTTTGGGGTTCAGGGTTTAGGGTCTGAACTTTAGGGTTTAGGGTTTGGGGTCTGGGGTTTAGGGTTTAGGGTTTCGGGTTTAGGGCTTCGGGTTTAGGATTTGGGGTTTAGGGTTTGGGGTCTGGGGTTGGGGTTTGGGCTCCCTGCACGTGGCCAATGCAACCTGAGACCCCTGCACCAATGGAGCCTCTACACCCTAAACACAAAACCCTAAACTCTACACTTTAAGGGGGGTCTCAGAGGTGGCGGCTTGCCGAACTTGCCGGCGATCCAAGGGTGGGCCATGGCCTGCAAAAACGCCTTAAGGGTTTCGGGTTTAGGGTTTAGGGTTTTAGGGTTTAGGGTTGAGGGTTGAGGGTTGAGGGTTTAGGGTTTAGGGTTTAGGGTTTAGGGTTTAGGGTTTGGGGTTTAGGGTTTAGGGCTTAGGGCTTAGGGCTTAGGGCTTAGGGTTTAGGGTTTAGGGTTAAAGGTCTTGGGGCTTACGGTTTAGGGCTTGTTCAGTGGACATAGCCTTTGTGGAAGAGGTAGGTTCCTAATGGATATCTACTGTGACACAAACTCTCGGCCTTCTAGGTGAAAACTCTTAAACCCGGACGTTAACCCCGTCCCTTCTGCTGTTCCCGCCTCGGAAGAGCTCAGCCGTGCCTTCTCACTCTTTTCGAGCATCTTGCGAATGAACTCCTGACGGATTTTGTTTCTTCAGGCTCCGAGATTCTCAGGTTTAGGGATTCCTGTGTTTTTCAGACTCCGGGGATTTGGGGGAGCTTTTGACGGCTCAAGCAGACTGCCTGTTTCACCCTTTGGGCAACCGCCCCGTGGTCCCCCCGAGCGCCTCGCAGACGGGATGCACCCGCTTCGGGATGCGCACCTCCTTATTCCTGCCAAGGCAAGGGGGGTTTCCGAAAATCGGGGTACCCTTTTTGGGGGTCCCTGAATGGGGGATGCTATTCTATTTGGGGTATCAAAGGGTACCCCGGTTTTGGGAGATACTCAGAAGGCCGCCTCTGAAGTCGAAGGCCTTGAAAAGCCTCAAACCCCCAAACCAGTTGCTGGAGCGTGGGCTAGGGGTTTAGGGTTTAGGGTTTAGGGTTTAGGGTTTGGGGCTTAGGGCTTAGGGCTTAGGGCTTAGGGCTTAGGGCTTAGGGCTTAGGGCTTAGGGCTTAGGGCTTAGGGCTTAGGGCTTAGGATATAGGGTTTAGGGTTTAGGGGGCTGAATAAAGAAGGGCTCCTTTATGGCGGGGAGGAGGGGGGGGACCCCCGCTCTAAGGCTCCCTTTCATAGAAAATATCTCAAAGGGGCCCCTGATCCAAAACACATCCGACAAGGGCTCTAACTTGCGTTGGATAATCGGATAGGGATGTAGAGAGAATTTGCGGATTCACGGCCTGACGTCGTTCTCGTCTCGGAATGGGAATCGGCCTCGGAGAAGACCCTCCCAGAACCCCATGCACCCGAGACCCTCAATTAAGCCAAAACATTCTTAAACCCTTCCTGAAACTCACAGCCCTATCTCAAGCCTCAAATCGAAAACAGGATGGTTTACTGTGTGGGGTGCAACTTTTCCTTGAACTGCCGCACACTTCTTGAGTGGTGCTGAGGATTCAGAATCATTCAAGTGTTTTAGAGAGAATCAGCTTTAACTTCGGGTTCCCACTGGTCCATCTTCAGAACTTGCTCCAGATTCTACCCTAGCCACGATTCCTGAGGCCCATGCCACTAACAAGTCCGTACATGATGACGCCCATGGCCCACACGTCGACCTGCAAAAAGACGGATCTGAGAGCTACAGGCCGAAACAAGGTGTCTGCCTGTGGTCGGAGTGAAGAGGCAAAGACATGAATGGGGGAGCCGTACCACCGCCAAAACTCTAAGAGGTTCCCCACTCACGGATCAGGGCCCGCCTTCTGCGAGTAGTCCCGGTCGAAGAACTCCGGAGGCCAGAAGATCTTCGTGCCCACCTCGCCGTCTCTTCCAAAGTTGGGATATTTGGGGAGTTTATTGGGTGTTGCGAGTTGGGGCGAGGTCCTAAAAGCTTTGAATGCTATGGCGGTTCAGGGGAATTGGGGGAGCACCGGTGACAGATGCTATTTGCCATGACTTCCGTGCTCGCACTACAACATATTGTAACCATACTGCCCTCCCGCGGACCATTCGGGGACCTACCTCGCTCAGCACAAACGATTCTAAATCCATGAGCTGCACTCACTCCACACAACTAACTCTCCTGGAATCAAGCACCACCCACGCAAACCCATAGCGCCTGACTCAACAACCTCACAGACTAAAAGCTCCTAAGCCCAAAACCTTCGGTTGAAACCGCCGACCCTCTTCCGGAAGACTCTCCGAGAACCCTGAACCAGCAGAGCATGGACCCTGAAGTCTTCAGGGTTTAGGGTGCAGGGTCTAGGGTTTAGGGTTTAGGGCTTAGGATTTAAGATTTAGGGTTTGGGGTTTAGGGCTTAGGGTTTTGGGTTTAGGGTTTAGGCCCCGAAATGCCCTGAAACGCTGAAGCCCTGAAACTGCGGCGGCGCCACCCCCGAGGATAGCCGATCCGTGGGGCTGGCGGTACAGGCCTTTGGATGCTTTTGGAGCTTGGGCCGATTGGGGGTTGTAGAGTTTTCGTGTTTTTTAGGGTTTAGGGTTTAGGGTTTAGGGCTTAGGGTTTTAGGGTTTAGGGTTGTAGGGTTTTGGGTTTTGGGTTTTCGGGTTTTAGGGTTTTAGGGTTTTAGGGTGTTAGGGTTTTAGGGGCTTTTAGGGGCTTATAGGGGGGGCTTATAGGGGGGGCTTATAGGGGCTTATAGGGGCTTGTAGGGGCTTATAGTGGCTTATAGTGGCTTATAAGGGCTTATAGGGGCTTGAGGTTGGAGTTAAGGTTTAGGGCTCAGGCGTTTTGAGGGGCAGCACTTGGGCAGGTTTTAAAACTTGAGAAGTTTGAGGGTCAGGGTTTAGGGGTGACAGTTTGGGTTCCAGGCTTTCGCGGCTTTTCAACTGTCTTCTGAGGTGTCCGAGCTTGTTTTAAGGGGTTTAGGCCAAGGGTCCAGGCCGAACTGCACATAGGAAGCTCGAGAGTGAACCCTTTCACACGGGCATCTGTAGCTCGTGGCATGAGAAACCGCGCTTCAGTTGCCCAGCTCCATGGCACAAGCAGCACAAGGGGTCTAGGCCGCACTACATTTGTTTCTGCGTGTCGTTCACAGCACAAGGTCCTTCAGCTGCTAGCGCGACCAGTGTCACTTTTGCTGAGCCAGGGCGTCGGCCACATTTGGGGTTTCCAACCCGAAACATTCAACCAAAACCTTGCCATTGGAAAGCTCTAGGATGGGCACCATCGCTCAACACCCTCCCAAGCCCCCCGTGAAGTTCGGGAAGCGTCACACGACTCTGAGTCCGAGGCCGTGCCGAAGTCTGTTAAAACAATCTTGCACTGCTTGTCCGTCATGTTCTGGCGCCGAGATTGAAGGGCTTTCCAGGAGCTCCCAGGCTGGGAACGTCCGAATCTTGTTCCCCCAAACATGGTCTGGGGCAGCTTACACACTAGAAGGTGAATGAGGTTCTAAGGAACCTGAGACTTCATACAAACCCCTCAACCTTCAAACCTGAAGCCCTAAACCTAGCTCCTAGGCTTTTGAGAAGGCATAACACTGCCTTCCGGTCCATGAGGTAGTTGTCACCTTTCACGTCCCGGTGCGCCACGTTCCTCCAAAAAAAGGCTAATAGGTTCAGGCATTAGCTGAAGTACCCTGCAGGCTAAGCAAGCACTGGGGTCCAGGGGTCTTCAGATTTGAACTAAGCCTGCAAGGCAATCTGGCAAGAGGGTGCACATGGTTTTTGGCTTACAAGAAATAACAATAGAAATAATGACTGACATACAGATAAGAATCATAACAAGAATAACAACAGTAGGGATTACAATAGAGAAAGTAAACATGGTAAGCGTTTAGGGGGCGCAACCCGAAGAACACGACCATGGTCTGTGGATCTCATGAGCTCAGCGAGCCCCTCCGCGCCTCTGATGGAGGTAGTGAATGGAGGCCGCCATCTGGTACCTTTGCCAATTATTGAGAACCCGAAACCCTAAACCCGAAACCCGAAACCCTAAACCCTTGGGGCTGAGGGGGGAGCCCATACCAGAACCCTGGGGTTTAGGGCCAGGGTCGCCTCTTGAAGGCCATAGAGAGTATGAGGCCTGAACATAGTGTTCAGGGTTTGGGGTTTAGGGTTAAGGTTTAGGGTTTAGGGTTTAGGGTTTAGGGTTTAGGGTTTAGGGTTTAGGGTTTAGGCTTTAGGGTTTGGGTTTAGGGTTTAGGGTTTAGGGTTTACGGTTTAGGGTTTACGGTTTAGTTCAGGAAACTCGACATTCAACCCCTGCGCCCTCCCGCCGCGCACGCGACGTGCACTACGTCGAGGCAATTAATTTGACCACGCTCCTGCACGGAGCGTCCGGGGTTTAAAGGTTCAAGGCTGGGTGTTGTACTGCGCTGTCCTGCCAAAACCCCGAAAACCCCCAAAACCCAAAACTCCAAAACCAAATCAGACCCCCCCCCCCCCCACCAAAGAAAAAAGAAAAGAAAGACTAGACCCCTAAACCCAGCCCCAACGTTTTCCCTACAGCTTCGGGTTTGAAGGGCTTTAGGCGAGGGCTTGTGGCCTAAACCCGAAACCCTGAACCCAAACCGGCTTGGGAAGCAGCACTGCGGAACGCGGCAAAATATGGTATCTGAGGGGTCCAGGTCTGGGTTTAGGGGCTTTTGGGCGTTTGGATTGTTGCGCTTCTATTTTCATTTGTTTTGTGGGTTTGTTTGGTATGTTTTTGTTTTGTTGGGTTGGCTTTCTTTTTTTGGGGGTGAGGGTTTGGAATAAACACCAAACCAAACAGCAGCAAAGTCCTAAACCCTAATCCCCTAAACCCTAAACATCCCTAAACCCTAAACCCACAACCCCAGATCGGCAACCCACGGGAAGATGGGTCCTTGAGGTGGCGCTGCAGGCCCTCTACGAGGTCACCGCCATCAAGCTTGTCCATGACAATACAGACGAAGCACCTTTTGGGGTTTAGAATTTAGAGTTTAGGGTTTAGGCTTGAAGGTTGAGGGTTTAGGGCTTAGGGATTCGGGGTTAAGGTGAAGCTTGAGTTTAGGGCATAGGGATGTTCAGGAGCGCTGAGGGATGGTTCGGGAAGTAAGAGCTCCCTGTGGGGTGTTGGGTGTTCAAGCGAATCTCAACCTTTTGGATCTTATATTGGTAGGGAAGAGTTTGGCGCCGCTAATGTGCGCAGGGCTCTTTAAGGAATTATGTCGGGATTGTAGTTCCCATAGTCCCGAACTAGGACGTCAAAGATATGTCTTTCCGCGCCTCTCGTAGTAGACGCCGTGAAACTTGACAATGTTTGGGTGGTCCTTGGCAGGCATGGGTCGCAGAAATTTCGGAGAGAAAAAAAACAGCGAGACAGCGCATGACAGCACGATGGTGAGACGCGCACTCTCGTGCCCATGTGCTCCTCGATTTACTCTCGGAGTACTCTATGCCATGCAGGAAAGGCCCTTCCGATGGTGCAGGACGTGTGGGGTGTGTCGCTTCTGGAAGGTACTTGCAATTGCCGAGGCAAGCCACCAAAACAAAGCTCGGGCTCCAACCATGCTGGCCAGCATATCAGCCTCCTTGCGGATGGCTTCCACTGGCGTTTCTACCTGGGAAAAAGCACGGGACCTTGGGCATTGTGGCACCTGAGTCCCCTGAGCCCCCTGAAAAAACTCTTTACCACAGTCGTATCTCACTTTGGTGAGTCGGCTAGAGAGCCTGCGATCAGCCAGAGGAGCAACAGAGCTGGACTAAAGGTTCCAGGACAAGGCTTTTTGCAGGCACTGGGGTCTTGGGCCTAGCTTTGGGGCCCTGGGACCTTGGTGTTTGGAGCTTGTGGCGCGCAATCACTATATGGGGGCTTCCGACAATACGGGTACCCTTTTTGGGGGTTCCTATAATAAAGACTATAGTATTTGGGGGTATGCGTATATATATACATATATATTGGGGATCCCCCCAACACCCGGCCTTGTCCACCATCTTTACCTGGGCACATGCGCTGCCGAGCGGGCTGACGTGTTGAAGGACGGAATACCCTCCCAGCAGGAAGAAACACCATGGGCGCTCTCTTAGTGGAGCCGAGCTGCTGCAAACTCCTCGCCTGTAGACCGTCTTTTGCAGACCTCAGAAGTAGGCTGCTGCCCTTGTCAAAAGACTTCCTAAGTCTGGGACGCTCCCGTCACAAAGCTTAAAAAGCAACGTCAACGAACGAAAAGGCTCCAACAAAAACAGGTATGGCTCTGTGCTGGTTCCCAAAGTGCCATATCAGCGTGTGCCACAATGCACCCCTGAGGGAATCCAAGACCACATCTTAAAGGATGGGCCCAACTTTAGAAAGTCTGGGACACTCGCTGAGACGACTCCGAATGCTCCCTCGCCCAAGGTGAGACCCACCTCAGTCGCACAGGTTTCAGTGTGCCTGCGCGCGGCAGGCTCGGCAGTTGCATTTAGGGCTTCGGGTTGTAGGGCGAACCCGTCAATTGCAACACAGATTGTGTCACAGAACTCCACACACACTTACCTCTGATGATTTGCAAGCCGTAAGCTACTCTCCACAAAGCCGACTCACACCACGTGCAGTGCTCTGTCCTTCTTTTGTGACCACAACCTGAAAACAACAAGACCTGCACCCTGAATAGAAAAGTCTGAGGCGGATGCAGAATATTCATCTAACAAACGAAGTTCTTGGCCTTGTTTTTCATTCCCCTGCAGGGCGCAAGCACCACACAGGATGAGCCATCGAATTCAGAGAATTGTTGATAAGAAGTCTATGCACCATGTAGCTGGGACAACCCTGTGTCAAAACTCCGCTCCGTACCACAAATGCTACAGCAATACCGCAATACCAAGATCGGTAGTTGTGAGGTTGCAACGAACCCGAACCCTGAACGCTCCAACTCATGCAGTTCTCGTCACAGCCTGAGCTCCAGCAACGCCTGGTTTAGACGTTGAGGACCTGATAGTGCTAAAGTGTTTTCTTGTGGCGATTGGCTTTTCTTGCCTTGGACTGGAGTGTTGTACAGCTTGGGGAACTGGACTGCAAAGAGTGCAAGGGATATTTGACATGGGCAGATGGGTTTTTGGGTTCTGGGATCCCAGTTGCTAAGGCGGTTTTTCGATGACACACTTGTTGCGTCGTGCTGCAATCAAAAAAACTGTCATCGCAAAGTATCACTGCAGACAGGCTCTCCAGTTCGGTTTTGACAAAACGAGACACGAAGGGCTGTAGGTTTGAGGGCTACGAAGCACCCTCCTGCACTTTCGGGCTTGTTGCATGACCTTTCGTTTGGTAGCTGAGGCCGTGGCGTACAACCCATTGGGGATTTAGGCCTGTTGCTGACGCTTCGATGCATCATGACCGCAAGTAAGACTGCATCCATCACGGAACGATGCTATTCTTGGCAAAACAACACATATCCTGCAACACCTCGCAGCTCGGCCAGGCCTGATTTTGATGATGTTGTGCGTCCTGCGCAAGGCAGCAGAGACACGCGGCGTTTACAGCTCGCAACAACACCGCTAGTCGGGTAAAAAAACCCACCAAAACCAAAAGTTGAACCACCGCCATGCTACAGCATGGTTCTCTGTTTGTCGCCCAGTCCTCAAAAGGGACGGAAAGGGAACCCCGTCTTGCCCGGACGCTACCCGGCCATCAAGCGTGAGCCCAACTGGTTGCGTACAATGCCAAGCAATAGTGATGGAAATCAACGGCCCGGCTTTGCTGGGCCGCTTGAGTTTCGCCTCATGGGTCACTCAAACCGAACCTAGTTGCGGCAGCATCACCATTAACTACACGAGTACTTTGCACATCTTTGGGTTGGGGTCTCTGGTTAAGTTGGGGTTTCTAGTTTCAAGTACCCCGAAGTCGCTCCTCAATGTCACCACTTGACACGGTTAACTTGACACTTGGCACCTTCTAATGTGGAACTTGAACCCCTTCAGATCGCACTTGGTACTTCAAAATAGCATTTACTTCCGACATTCACATTTTCAAAGGCGGCAGGGCCGGCTTCACTCTAAAGCATTCTGAAGGGGAAACTTCAGAGGGGGCGCGGCGCAGCCCCCCGAAAAAAGACTTGGCACCGGGACCTGTGGGCCCATGACCCATGTTTGGATACGTTCTACGTGCTTCCGGGTGTCTACTTTTGCCTATTGCTTGAGGCAGGGGCTGCTTAAGGATCCAACGTTGCCCGAGTTCTAGGCCTGGCGTGTAAACTTGGGTGCTCATGATGCTGTTGCCCGCGCGCGCGGACGCGCCGCAGGTTTCTTTGTAACGACTCCCACCGCGCTCGCGCACCCACCGCCGACCCGCGCGCTCTCAACCACGCAACAAGTTACCAAAACCAGTTGCCAACCGCTACTTGCCCAGCAGCAGAAGATCCTTTTTTCGACGCCTTGGCCGCCATCTAGCTAACGACCTTTAGGAAAAAATTGCAAGCCAGCTCAAATAAACACGGTGAGATCGTGAGTAGAAGGAACTTTGTCATCTGTAAACAGCCAACCTAAGTTTACGCTTGGCTCTTCAGCAGCCATCTGGCTGTAAGCATGTATGGCGTGCATGGGGCGGCGTCTGTGTGCCGAAGCCATTGCTCGTTGACGTCGCTCTGCCGCCCGACAAGTGTGACCCACCAGAGGTTTCATCACAGCCAAAACCCAAGCTTCACAGCTCAAGACACACCACAAATGCGCCTCAACCAAGCCAGCAAAAGGCGGCTTGCTGGCATGGACTTTCGGGTTTTTACGCATCCTGAAGTTGATAGAATATGTAAATCCTGAAACATAAAGACACCGCTTCCAAAACGAGATAGAATGTTTCCAATTTGCAAAACCACAGATAAATATTTCCCAGGGGCCATCACAGAGAATTGGGCTGGCACGCCCAAGAGACGAGGCCCTAAGCCACCTAAGAAGGCCAAGAAATCAAGACACCAACCAAGAGGCCTGCAGGAGACCAATCGATCGCCCAAAAGTTGTCTTATAAACGGTAAACAGATCGCAAAAAAGTCTATGTATCGGTTCAAAGATTCGATGTATGGGTTCATCAAATATTCCATGTATGGGGTTCAAAAATTCTATGTATGGGTTCCTCGAACAAGTGGAAAACGCCAGAAACCCCAAAAAATGAACCGCCCCCGAAACCCAAGTTCTATTTATTCAAGGATGATTTCGGCTTACAATGCGACCACAACCGCGCACCGTAGCCCACTGAAAAATACGGCCTCTTAAGTTCACTTGCTAGCATCGCCGAAGATGATATCATGCCAGTCAGAAATTTTCTGTGCTGTAGACCATACAGGGTACAATGCAAACTTTGGCACATATGAGTCTGCCTTAGGATTTCTGATACAAGCGCCGTTCCCATCAACCTCCATGGCATGGTCCACGCTGTCACTGATGCTACTTAAGCTACCAGCACCTTTGCCCTTTATCTCAGCACTTGTCCGGTCCTGGACCAGCTGCACCAGCAACATCATTTAAGATATCTGCTATCCCAGGGCTGCCTGCAACAGCAACGGTCCACTGCTGCTGTGGTAGCACCCTGGCATTGCAAACGGCACTAAGCAAGCCTTCCGAGAACGGACAGTTGCTGCGGCGTAGGAAACTCGACTGCAGTCGCAACTACCACGTCGGGACTGTGACTACCCGCAGGCACAGGGCTGTTTTCCGAAGAGTCCACATCAATCGCAGTTTCGGAGGCAGTCTTGCGGCCACAAGGAGGCCGATGGACCCCGACCAGGCCAGTTGTATCAGGCGATGGAAGAAGAAGGCATCCTGCAGGATGTCGTGCGTTTATGGCAATGTCGATGGGCTCCCAGCGCGGTATGGATTGCAGGCTGGCGGCCGCTGAAATGGGCGCTGACCGTCCTGCCAAACAGGTCCAGTAACTTGCGTGTCTGTGCGGGCGGATCATCGTAGGATTCGCTCACAGCGATCTGTGTAAGGTCCTGCAGGGCGTCTCCAGGTAATGTGAAATAGGCTGTGCGAGGGCCTCTGTCGTATGTAGGCTACCTGGCTCCGTGACTGCTGTGCGGGGCGTGGGTGGCAGGCGGAGTGGCACAAACGGCATGTTGGCTGTTGGCTTGGTTGATGATTGGTCCTCGTCCCGGGTGGGTGTTCAGGGTTGTTCAGGGTCTGTGATTTCTGGAGCCCATGAAGCCTTTGCTCAACAGTTTCTCATTTGAGATTGCCGCGATGGGGAGCATTCTGCTTTTCTTGCTGCTTCGTGCAGGCGTGCCAGATTGAAGCATGGGTTCAGTACCTTGAAGTGTTTTTGCCGTGGATTGCCCTGTTTGATGAGAGGATACCGTTGGAAGTGCAGGCTTGTTTC